GAAGAAGAAGAAGAAGAAGAAGAAGAAGAAGAAGAAGAAGAAGAAGAAGAAGAAGAAGGAAAAGAAGGAGGAGGAGGAGGAGGAGGAGAAGGAGACGAAGACCTAAATGAAAGATCTCTGCAAGTGAGATCCCAGTGGAAAGAACAGGTCATCAAAGAAGGAGGTACCTTTCTCTGAATGGAGGAGAGAACTTCCACTTTGACTGTGACCCTGTAACATAAGATCAGAGTCTGTGAACTCAAAAGGCTTCCACAGCCTTGGCAACTCATGAGAAGAGCCTCAGGTGATTACTGAGGCCAAAAACAAGAATGTCATTTTGTTAAGTCAACAACAGGAGTCACTGTGCACTTACTCCTCACGTAGGATCTCTGTCCTTAATGTGTTGTGCATTGTGATTTAATGCTATACCTATTACTCAAACAGTACTTTACACTTTGTGTTTCTGTGTGGATGCAAACTGTTGAAGTCTTTACTTAATATATACTAAATTGATCTTCTTTATATAAAAATAATCGAAAATGAATCTTGATGTGAATCGAATGGGAGAGGGAGCAGAAGGTGGGAGGGGTGCGGGTGGGAGGGAAGTTATGGGGGGGAAAAAGCCACTGTAATCCATAAGCTGTACTTTGTAAATTTATACTTATTAAATAAAAGTTAAAAAAAAGAAAGACAGTTACATAGAGAGAGATGAAGAGACAGAGAGAGGGAGAGAGAGAGAGAGAGAGAGAGAGAGAGAGAGAGAGAGAGAGAGAAAGATTCCATTTGCTATTTCATTCACCAAATAGCTGTTATCAATAAGAGTTGGGGCAGCTTAAAAGCATGAGCCATAAACTATCCAGATCTCCAACATCTCGTGGGGGCCAAGACAAGACACTTGGGCCATTATCTGCTGTTTTCCCAAGCACATTAGCAGGTCAGTGGATCAAAATTGAAGCATTCATTTCTCAAATCAATGTTCATGGGATGCTAGAATTGCATCTAGAGACTTAACCTGCTGCACACTACATTGGACCCCATACTTTCAATTTCTAGACAAAGTGTTTATCATTTTAAATAGAAGAAATATGATATATTTTCTTGTACATGTATACAAACACACACACATTCTTGATCTGTTCTCAAAACTCTGGAATTTCCCACCCCTCTGACACATGGCTGCCTTCCTGTATCTGACTTGTTTACCTTCCAGTCTTGACATCAGTGAAGCTCATATTCAAAACTATTTGTCAAGGAACTTAGTTTCTGTCTTCAAACAAACATGTAACAGTCCAGCTCTCTGCTGTGGCCCAGGGAAGGCAGTGGAGGATGGCCCAAGTGCCTGGGACCTGCACCCCTGTGGGAGACCAGGAGGAAGCACCTGCCTCCTGGCTTTGGATCAGCGCAGCTTGCTGGCCGTGGTGGCCATTTTGGGGGGTGAACCAATGGAAGGAAGACCTTTTTCTCTCTCTCTCTCACTGTCTAACTCTGCCTGTAAAAAAAAAAAAAAAAAAAGACAGAAAAAAAAGAAAAAAAAGCTGCAGTCTTCCAACTCACTCTCCCCAAGATTCAAACCAATTTGCTACCACTTTCCACTCCAATGTTTTCATCACTTCTAAATAATGTGTAGTATTTAATGATTCTTTCTGTTATCTCCCACCTATAAAAGTTGTCAATTTAGCCTTTTTGTACAAGTTACCATATGAATGGATTTCAAAAAGTTTTGCAGCAAAATACATTTCACTTTTAATTGTGTTTTGGTGAATTTTCTGAAGTACCCTGATATAGTTCACAAGCACATACTCCACTGTCATAATAAATTAACCTTGTATATCTGATTGCAATCTATACCCAGTTATTATGTTAATATAATTATGTATATGTTTTGCACTTAACGTACTGAAGTACTCTTCCATTTGTCCAATTATTTTTGTTTAAACTGCTTAATAATTATATCCTTCTGTTACTTAGTTTTCTGTGTACTTGTAATTATCCTTTCCATTTACAAACAGAGCTGTCAATCTGGTTACACACAAGTCCCACGTTTTTTCTTAGAGCCTCCTTTTTTTGGACTCCTTTGTACTTTTGCCCCAGTGTGATTAAAACAGCCCATATCTATGAATTCTGGCCTATCCTTCATCTTAATTTAGGGAATTCCTGCTATGGTTCTCCAGGGTTACATGTCATTCTTTTTGTTTAGTTCAGTTCTTGACACATATTTTCTAGTAACTTACAAAAAATATTTTGAAGTTTACCCTACAATAAAATTTACTTATAATAAATGTATTATATTTATTATATAAAATTTAATTAATAGTTTGACTTGATTTGTCAAGTTCAAATCCCATTCCTTCAGTTATTTGCAAGAATTCACCTATTATCTTCTAAGAAGCATGCTATCATTCCAAGCCCTGGTTCTTTCATTAGTTTTTCCTCTGCTTAGGAAGTTATGAGAAGTTATCTAAGGCATAGTAGAGGAGGAAACACTTCTAAACACTTGTAGCAAAACTAGCATTAAGCTAATACCATAGCTACACAAGAAAAATTTGAGAAAAATAATGAAAGACCAATATCTCTGACAGATATCAATGCAAAAATATTCAACAAAATACTAATAACTCTAATGAAACAGCACATTAAAAGGATTTTATACCATAATCAATTAGGATTTATCACCGATATGCAAGAGTGATTCGATATTTGCCCACCATTATATGTGACACATCAAATTCACATACATGTATGGACACACACACACACAATGGAATATTGTTCAGTCTTTAACATGAAGGAAATTCTTCTATTTTTAATGTGGAATAGGCTTGAGGAAGTTATACTAGGAAAACTGACAAATACTATATGATCTCACTTATATTTGGGATTTAAAAGAAAAGCCCAAATCACAATGAAAGAGTGTGAAATGATGGTTACCAGGAACTGATGAGTGGCAGCAAAAGGGACCTATTAGTCAAAGGCACAACTCTTCATTATAAAATAGGTAAGTACTGGCAACCTAACATGGTGACTATAGTTATGATAATGTATTGTAAACCTGAAATTTCCTGAGAGTAGATCTCAAATATTCTCATGACACGTAAGTGATAAAAACATTGAGATAACATATATGTTAGTCTTCTTGATTGTGATAATCATTTTTATATGTATACATATACCAAAACATTCTGTTGTACCCCTTAAGTATATACATTTTCTTTTTTGCCAACCATACCTCCACAGAGTTAGGAGGAAAAAAATTCTAAAAGCTAGGAATAAAGACAAATGTTCAAAAAGATTTTATCTTTAAATTCAGAATTCTGAAGTTTTATGCTGCTATTGGAGGGTACGAAGCTTTAAATTTTGCTTTGCTGGGGGCTGTCATTGTGGCATCACGGGTTAAGCTGCCATCTATGACAAGAGCATCCCATAAGAGAACTGGTTCAAGTTTCGGCTCCACTTCCAATCCAGCTCCCTGCTCTTTCTCTCTCTCTGCCTTTCAAATAAGCAGTAGAAGATGGCCCAAGTATTTGGGTCCTTTAACCCATTGGGAGATCCAGATAAAGTTCAGGCTGCTGGCTTCTTTTGCACTAGGTCCAGGCATTGTGGGCTGCAGGGGCCCAGGTATTTGGACCATCTTTCATTGCCTTCCCAGGCCATTAGTAGGGAGCTGGAAGTGGAACAGTCAGAACATGAACTGGCACCCATATGGAATGCCAAGGCCTCTGGGGGCTACCTTACCCACTAAGTCACAACACTGACCCCACTGGGGAATACTTTACATCATATGCATACAATCATTCCATTGTATCAGGCAATTACGTTTTCCATTTCTTTGTGTTTGCTTTGTATTTGGAGTGTACCAGTTTCTCTGGCTCAGCTCTTTAGAGAGGATATAATACACTTTCTTGAACTAGGCAATGCATTGCACTGAAAAACAACAGAACCTGTTATATGTAGCTACTGTGTGCTGGTGCCTATTATCCACCCCCTCTTCACACAAACACTACCTTTCTTAGTCTCTTGTAATTACTGTTTTTTGAAAAGATTTAATTATTTGTTTGAAGGCATTAGCAGGAAGCTGGATCAGAAGGGGGATAGTCAGAACTGGAAAAGGTGCTCTAGTGTTCAATGCCAACACCACAAGCTGCAACTTAAACCTCTGCATCTCAATTCTGGCCACCTATAATCACCATTCTAAATGCACTTAAAAACACCAATTTTATTATTGTTTAACTTCCTGTGTATGAAATATAACGTGTGATATTTATCCTACTGTGTCTGGTTTATTTTGCTTACTACAATTATCTTCATTCCATCCATATTTTGCTGCTGCAAATATCAGGATTTCATTGTTTCTTATGTTTGACTAATATTCCACTGGGTGTGTACATCATGTTTTCTTTATCCTTTCCTCCAGCAGTTGCTGCCTAGATTGTTTCAACGTCTTGGCTATTGTGACTAGTGCTGCAATAAGCCTACAAGTGCATTTATCTAATGCTGATTTCATTTCCTTTGAACATACACCAAGAACAGGAATGGATAGGTCATGTGGTAGATCGATTTCTAGTTTTTTGGGGAACCTCCATATTTTCTCCATAATGGCTATACTAATTAGCGTTGCTACCAACAGTGTATTAAGGTTCTTTTTCTTATACATCTTTGCCTACTTTTTTAATGTTTTGTCTTTTTCACAATAATAATTCTAACTGGAGTGTGATAATCCCTTGTTGTGGTTTTGATTTTAATTTACTCCTGTTGTAGAATTTGGAACTTCAGGTGCACTTTTACTTGAAGTCAAGGACTGTAGCGATCAGGACTTGTAAAGAAACCAAGCATGTCAGTGCTCCGACCAAAGCTTCTGACTCTCTGAAAGCCTTCCTCCTTGTCTTCTGGGTGGTTGGATGTGCTGGCCCTCCTCAGATTGCATGACTTCATCCTCGAGTCTTTTGAAATAACTAATGTTAAGCCCCTTAAAGGAGACCACCTGTTCAGTGCAGTAGGAAGAATCACCAGCAACAGAGGTAAAACCAAATTCACCATAGAGAATGGGACATGGGCATGGATAGTTTTGGCTGATGTGAAAGTTCATACCCTTGACTCTTTCCAAAACATCAAGATGGAGAGAACTGCCATCTGCAACCTCACCCTGGGAAATCCTCCCTCAAAGGTTTATGGCAGGGGCTATTGTGGTGTAGCGGGTAAAGCTACCACTTGCAGTGCTGACATCTCATATGGCCACCGGTTCAAATCCTAGATGCCTCAGTTTGGATCCAGCTCTCTGCTCTGGCCAGAGAAGGCAATAGAAGATGGACCAAGTGATTGGGCCTCTGTACTTGCTTGGGAGACCCAGAAGAATCTCCTAGCTCCTGGCTTTGGATCAGCTCAGCTCCTGCTATTGTGGCCATCTGAGGAGTGAGCCAGCGGATGGACTCTCTCTCTCTCTCCCTCCCCCTGATTCTGCCTCTCTATAGCTCTTCTTTTCAAATAAATAAATAAAATCTTTTTAAAAAAGTGGTTTATGGCAACATTCGAGCTGTGGCTAGCAGATCAGCAGATTGATTCTGATGTCAACTCTGAGTCTCTTTATCTTGTCCTTGGACTCCAAAGAAAAAGACCTGACAGTCTACAGGCCATCAAAAGAAACCATGTCATTTTGCACCTCAGTCACTTCTTCATTTTTAGCCAGAAGCATGGACACTAAGGTTTAACAGTTTCACACTCAGTAGCTTTCAGAGCAATATAAATGTCAATATCTAACACTGATTATATGCATAATCTTTTCTTTTCTCTTTAAAACACATGTAGCAGATTTGCATGGAATGTAAATCTTTTATTTGGTGTAAACTTCTGGCTTAAACAGTTCTGTATGAATGTGTTAGTTTTTATTTATAAATTTATAACTTTTTATGAATTTACAAACATTTTTTTCTGTATAAATTGTAATTAAAAGAACCATCTAAGAAAAAAGGAATAACATCTCTATGTATAGTTATTTTTTCTATAACTGTCAAACATTGATAACGCATTGACAACCATAATTATGTTTCTGTCATTCTCCCTATATTTTGAACAGTTTTCTCTTTATGTATTATGAAGTTTTATTTCATCCTTTTGAAGTTATCAATGCTGCATTATCATCTCCAAGAGTTCTTGTTATCACTGGGCAACTTTTGCATCACATTTGAGCAATTCTGAGTATATATCTTCAGCACTTTTACCATAAATTTGTGAGAGTTTATTTGCCTATTTTTATTGCTATCATTTCTGTAATTTTTTTGGATTAGAAAAACTACTGGTAAGAAATGAATAATAGAATATTCTATTTAAAGCCACCATACCCATTGCATCTTGATTGGAGGAACTTAGGATATCATTGTAGAATATTGTAATACTATGTCAATTATCATCCCTTTTATTGAGCTAAAATTTATTTTATTTTTGTTTATTTTTATATAATTGCATGTATAGATCTTGTTTGTTTCATGTTCTAGAACAATTTGAGAATAAATAATTTTTGAATTATTAAACATTATTTCAAAATCACTGATAGATATTAACATAAAATATAATAAGGGCATACACTCATTTACGACTTTAAACTATTTGACATTTTATCTTTTCCTTTCTCTACATTTCCATAACAAATTAATATAATTTGAAAGCAGATAATCATATTTTTCAAACAAATTTTATTTGGTTAGAGTTAAAAGGAGCATTCATAGTAGCTATGTATTCATTAATAACTGCTCCATAAATATTTACTTTTACCCCATTATAGCAATTATTTTATCTTTTAAAATGCATCACATTTTAATAGGTATTAACTAATGATTCTATTTAAGAGAACACAGCAAAATATACTCCACAAAAATAGGAGAACAAGAAAATGAACAGGCTTGAAACAAAGTATGCCCAAAGCCAGTAATGAATAAAATCATAGAGTGTTTTTAAAAAAAATTTATTTATTTATTTGAAAGTTAGAGTTATACACAGAAAGGAGAGTTAGACAGAGAGAGAGAGACAGACAGACAGACGACAGAAAGTCTTCCATCTGCTGATTCACTCTCCAATTAACCGCAATGGCCAGAACTGTGCTGTTCCGAAGGCAGGAACTAGGAACTTCTAGGTCTCCCATGTGGGTGCAGGGACTCAAGGACTTGGGCCATCTTCCACTACTTTTCCAGGCTCTAGCAGAGAGCTGGATTGGAAGTGGAGCAGCTGGATCTAGAACAGGTGCCCATATGGGATGCTGGCACTGGAGGCAATGGCTTTACCTGCTATGCCACAGTGCTGACCCCTAAATATACTCTTAAAATTACCAACAGTCCCTTAAAATCAAATATCATGAATTATTCTAATGGAGAAAGTCCATAGAAATCCTTTTCGAATTTATAAATAAAACACCATGTCCATAGAGTACTATTCAATTTTATATATTTTTAGAAATGCATTAGCACAAGAAATGTGAGGAGAGTTTTAAGGGAAGATAGGGTTAGGCGAGTATATTGATGTATATGTTTGGAGACAGAAATTTATTTGCAAGTGCCAAATCAAGATCTGCTTTAAAAAATTAAACTAATAAAGTAGATAAACAACAAAAATGTGGACATCAATTTATGATAGCTAAAATATACAGAAGCCTTACCACATGTCAGTTACTATTTTAAGTGTTTCTCTTTGGCTAACTCATTTAATATTCATAACTATTTCTTTTTCAAAAATTTTATTTATTTATTTGAGAGGCAGAGTTACAGAGAGAGAGAGAGAGAGAGAGCCAGAGTTGAGCCCTTCCAAAGCCAGGAGCCAAGAGTGTTTTCTGGGTCTCTCAAGTAGTTGCAGGGGCCCAAGCACTTGGACCATCTTCCAGTCCTTTCCCAGGCCTTAACAGAGAGCTGGATTGGAAGAGAAGCAACCAGGACACAAACCAGTGCCGATATGGGATGCCAGTGCCGCATGTAGAGGCTTAGCCCTCCCTCCATACCACAGCGCCCACCCCAATATTCATAACTATTTCTAGGATATAGGTCCATTTTCCAGATTAGGGCTCCGAAGCACACAGGCAAAATTTAATTGCTAAGGACATAAAAGTAGGTAGTGGCTGATCCATGATTATATCCAGGTGGTCTCCTTCCAAGGTTCTGTGCTTCTGAAATCTATTCTAAACTGCCAAGAAAAATATTAGCATAATAACAATTACCACTTGGAAAACATGCTTAAAAATCCTTTCATAATAGCAATAAGATGTGAAATATTGAGACATCAATAGAATAGGCAATATGCAGCCATGAGTAAATCTATAAAATATTATTAGAGAGAATTTTAAAAGAAGATTTGATTAAATGGCTGGATACAGTATGTTCTTGAATGGAAAGAACAATATTGGAAAATTGTCTATTAACCTTGATTTTAGCTTAAATTGAATTCAAATAGAAATCCACCATCTTATATTTGAAACTCAATTAAATTATTTTATTTTCATTTGGAAATGTAAGTAGATGGAATGTCCATTATTCAATAAAAGAATATCAATAAGAGTAGTCTAATCTTACCAGATAAAAGTTATGTTATATAAAAATAAAAAATATAAAACAATACAATTAAATGAGAGTATATTAACACATGGTTAATATGAGTCTATTATGCTTTTGGTTGATTGTTACTGTGACTAACCACTTGCGACCAGCTTCAGTGATAAAGAAGGAGCAATTGTTTCACATAACTGAAAAAATCAGAAATATATGGGCTCAGGGACACTTTAATCAAAGAGTTAATTTTCATTTCTTTGAGGTTTTCTTTGCCTTCTCCTCAATTTCAGCTTTTTTTTTTTTTTTTTTTTTTTTTACAGGCAGAGTGGACAGTGAGAGAGAGAGAGACAGAGAGAAAGGTCTTCCTTTGCCGTTGGTTCACCCTCCAATGGCTGCCGCGGCCGGCGCACTGCGGCCGGCACACTGCACTGATCCGAAGGCAGGAGCCAGGTGCTTCTCCTGGTCTCCCATGGGGTGCAGGGCCCAAGCACTTGGGCCATCCTCCACTGCACTCCCTGGCCACAGCAGAGAGCTGGCCTGGAAGAGGGGCAACCGGGACAGAATCCGGCGCCCTGACCGGGACTAGAACCCCGGGTGCTGGCGCCACTAGGTGGAGGATTAGCCTACTGAGCCGCGGCGCCGGCCCTCAGCTTTTTTTTATTTATTAATTTATTTCAAAACAGAGAGAGAGAGAGAGAGAGTCATGCAGAGAGTTCCCATCTGCTAATCCACTCCACAAATGCCAGCAACAGCCAGAACTGGGCCAGGAACTCAATTCATATCTTCCACATGGGTGACGGAAGTCATTTGTTGGAATCATCACTGCTGCCTACCAGAGTATCCATCAGCATGCAGCTGGGATCAGGAGCTGGGCACTGAACTGGAGCCATTCTGATATAGGATAAGATTGGGTGTTCTAACCAACAACTTCACTTTTGGCTAAATGCCCATTCCCAGTTTTCTTGCTTGCTTCTTTCCTTCCTTTTCCTTTGTTGGTTTGAAAGACACAGACAGACACACACATGCACACACACACACACACAGAGAGAAAGAGAGAGAGAGAGGGTTCATCTATCTTCTGGTTTGCTTGGCAAATACCATCAACAATAGGGGCTGGGCTAGTCAGAAGAAAAACACCACAAACTCAGTCTGGATTTTTCATGTGAGCAGCACAGATCCAACTACTTGAGACATAACTGCGAGCCAGAATAGGTATGGAACAGTGATACAAACTCAGCATTCAAATGTGGGATGCAGGTGCTTCAGGCAGCATCTTCTCCACTGTGCTAAGTGCCCACACTCGTCCGCTCTTCTGCTTTATTTCTAACTGATCTTCCCTCTTAATATTGCAAGCTGGCCACCATTAGCAAGTAAGCCTCCATGTTTTATTATTATAACAATATACTAGACCTCGTGGGGTTCCACTAGCATTGAACAAAACATTTTATTTAAGTTCTACATGGGTCTTTATGAATCAATATGACGAGCAGGGTTGCCCCATGTTGTGCACTAGATTAGGGTCCTACTGTCTACTGGGATGTGGTTTTGGCTTTCCAGGGGGAACATCTCACTGCAGTTGTTTGGAATGGTGAGATGGAAAGGAGGCTGCGTAGGCAAAGATGAAACAGGTACTATATAAGGGATCTTCATGAAGTTCATGAAAATGAAATGAAAAGACTAGTTTATATTTCATGGAAAACATTTATATCCATGCATACTATGGATTATCAAAAAGTTCATGGAAATATATACCATGCAAATACTAAGTACATAGAGATAGTTATGAAATCACAACTGTGCTAGAATATTACTTTATGAATATTTTAAAAGTAAAATAATAGTCATGTTCATTATTATTTTAATCATTAGTATTACACACTGAGAATTCATTTAATTCAAAGCTATGGTATTATAGCTAACATGGAAACATTGATAAAGTGAGCTGAAGAGATTGGTCTGAAATAGATAAAGCTGCATTTTAACACATGAGCTGATAACAGGTGGTTATTTATCAAGCTTTTGATACCAAGCAAA